CTGAAATTCTGTGTTTTTCCTGGCTTTGGTGAGCGATGCGGCTCTGTGTTGACTTGCTCTCCGGAGTCCTGTCACGTCAGGAGCTTGGGATGACCCTTCACCGGTCTCAGGTTGGGATGGGGCTGGAAGAAGGATCTTGGTGCCCAGGGCTCAGGGGCTTGCAAGAAGAACAGGGAGATGTGGCCAGGAGCAGACCCTTTGCCGGAGCTGTAATGGCTATAATAATATAAGAGCCATAATAACCGATGTCACTGGCCACACGTGACCCTTTCTGGTGATGTTGGTGAAGACTAGTGAGAGACTGGAGAGCAAATGCTTGTGATAACGGTGTCGCTTGGCCATCGATTGCCGCTGCAGGCGGCCGTGGGATGGATGGTTGAAACGCTGTGAGTAGTCGTAGGTCTGGGCGAGGGATGAGGACCTTCCGAAGTGCTCCTCGGAGGATGGACGCCGGACTGTGGGTCTATTCGAACTTCAGCTGAGCGACAGAGGAAACCCAGGTGGGGCTGGAAAGAGGGCTCCCGGGTGCAGAAGGGGAATTGCAGAGACATGAGGAGAACCAGCGAGAGGGGTCACAGCGTGAAGGTTTCAAAGCCTGGCCATTTAAACTTGTCTGGAGCTTTTATTCCTAAGAAAAGGGATAATACTGACAGGGATGGCTGGGATAAATCCCCATCTCCAAGTAGGTGCCAGGAGTAAGTGAAGAGCCCAGAAGAAAACAGAGACAGACATCTTGGCAGGCAGGAGCTGAGGGCGAGATTTCACACTGTCTGAGCTCAGACTTGCAAAATAAACCAGAAACTCCTCAGCCCTGTTAGAAGGACTGAGAACAAAACGGGGAGACTGTGGGGGGGGAGTGGGGCAGAGCCTGCGTGGACCAGGTCAGCTCAGCATTTTGGTTTTCCGTGGGGATGTTGGGGTTCTGTGGGTGTGAGTGGGGTTGTGGGGGTGAGGATGAGGAGTTCCTGTCTTTAGGAGGGCAAAAAAATACGTGAACATTGAAACTGAAGGGTGGATCGTTTGTATTACTGAGCAAACTGGCACCTGGAAATCACAAGTACATGTTACAAGGATTTTTGAGAAACCTGCTGAGGCTGGAAGGTGTCACAGGTTTTTTTTCTGAGAAGGAGGAAATGTGGTCCAGACGAGAAGATGGGCTGTCAGGCTGACATCAGTGGTACGCTTAGCGGAACAGCTTTGGAGAGAGGGATTCATCAGTTCACAGAGGTAATTGGAAATGGAAGGAGACATGCCGCAGGTTTACCAGCCGCCTATCGTGCCAGGCTAATCACATATCACCTTGGCAGCAGGGTGACTGATGATCTTGATAAAGAGATTGCAGTTGATGTAGTTTATCTGGATTTTCATAATGCATTTTATCCGCTGGAGGAGGGAAGAGGAGCTCAGTATGGCTGTTGTAACGAACTGGCCAAAAACCCACTGGGAGAGACCAGGGGTCAGGCTGCCCGGCTTTACTGAACTATTTCATAAATGGGACAAAAAGTCAGAAATATTAATTAAATGTACACAACATCCAAGGACAGGCAGTGCCACCAGCGTCAAGGAGAATTGGAGGGTGCTCAGGGATGTGGTGGGTACCTGCAAGGACTGGAGGAAGAGTGGGCAAACCCATCACAAAGAGAAAGGATGTGTGGTGTTTGCATGGGCAGGGCGATGGGAAGGGGGAGGTTTAGGCTCAGCTGGGAGACTTGCAGGTGGCGATGAGGGGAAAGATGTGGCTCTGCAAGTCTGTCACTGCTGTGATTGCAATGAAAGCAAACGAAATCTGGTGTCTTCGACAAGAGGCATCCAGGGGAGTGTATGTGTCGAATGAGATGCTGCTGAGCCTGGCTGGGAATGCTGTGCAAAAGCCTCATCATCAATGTGTGAGGAGCAGGTGCAAAGATGGGGAGGGACCAGGACTCCCCAAAACCTCAAATTTTTGGCCTAAGAAATAAAAGCTGGGGAGGGGCAGACGATCTTCCTCCCCCTCCAGGAACTGGGGAGCTGGGTGCTGCCCCTGTTAGGCACTGGGCAGGGAAATGAGTGGTTGCATTGCAGGGCTTTGCTGGTGCCGGGGCTGATCGCTCCCTCCCACTTCTCCCCAGTCACTTAGGGGTGCCACCGGGACGGGGAAACTGCCCCTTGACCAGTCCTTTGCCTTTCGACCTGATTTACACCGACTACCACGGTCTCCAGCAGATGAAGCAGCACATGGGGCTCTCCTTTAAGAAATACAGGTAAGCAGAGCCACTCCCTTCTCTTTCTCTCTGTTTCATTAATTAATAAGCAAAGACTAATGCTAATGACCTTGAACGACAGCCCCACATCCAAGGGGCTGGATCCTTTGATTTTTGCCAGGCTTTGCCAGCTGCTGCCATGCTGTGTCCTGGGCGGGTCCGCTTGCTCCTCAGCCTCACGTGTTTAAGATAAAACCTCGTTAGAAGAGACTGAATGGGGAAGAAACACCCTGCATGTCCCTGTGGTGTGTGTGCTTCCCAGTACAGTGCCTGCAGCCTGTGCCAGGGGTGGCCACACCACAGAGGGAACCACAAGCCTTTTGTATTTGCAAGAAGCAGAGCCCTGTCCCTGGCTCCTTCGGCACCAAGACAAATGTTGTCACCCCCTGGTACATCACCAGCCAGGAAAATATGCAATTTAATTTACTGCTGATAGCCCTGCTATTTATTATGTTTTCTCCCATCTCTTCCACTATTCTACACAATTTTATTAGAGAGAAAAATGACAAGCGGTGTTATTGCTTTTATTATAAATGCATTTGCTCTCGCATTCAGCTTGTTTGGCTCTTCCCTTGCTTGATGGTCCCCTTCTCTCCTCGGTCTTGTCCTGGTAATGCCTGCCTCAGCATTCCTGGAATATTGGGAAAAGCATTAACAAGGCTTCAGCAGATGCATCATTCTCGCAGCCATCAGGGAGATGAAAGCCCTGCAAGGGGAAATTGCTCATTACAGGAGGGAGCAGTGTGTTGGGAAGGGCCGCCCAGAATGTTCCTGCACCCTCTGCTCAGGGAGCAGCCAGGGGACAAGCTGCCTGGAGACACCCCATGTCCCCTCAGTGGGACTTTCTCAAACCAAGGTCCTTGGGTCCCATCTCCTCTCCCAGGTGCCGCGTCCGGGTCATCGATACCTTTGGGACGGAGCCGGCGTACAACCACGAGGAGTACGCCACGCTGCGCGGCTACCGCACCAACTGGGGCTACTGGAACCTGCAGCCCGCCCAGTTCATGACCATGTTCCGTAAGTGGGGGACGGGGGCACAGTGGGGCGATTTCAGGGGCTCGCAGGTCTCGCCCCCTTAGGAGGTGATGCACGGGCAGCGCTGTCCTCCTGCCTCTGCTCCTGCTTCCCGCTGCCTGCAGGGAGCTCTGGGATCTGCTTGGCCATCGCTCGGGCTGCAGAGATGCTGTGGGGAGAGAGCCGGCTCCTTGCTCTGGGACGGGTTGCTGGCTCCAGCACAGCCAGGGCCAAACGCAGGGCACAGGCAGCAGCTTCCAGCTCCTGGGAGGGGAACGTGAGGTGGGTTTGGCTGCAAAGCCTGGTGTTATTTCTGCTGGGTTGTAGAGGCGAGGGGCAGCTCAGTGGTTCAGGCTTCCCCGTGGCGTGGAAAGGAGATGTGCGTGTCTGGAAGGAGCCTGGTGACCCACTGGGCACTGCGGAACTCAAATGTTGCTTTTTTCTGGCTGGATAGAGCCCACTTGGCAGCTTTAAAAATGCCTTCTCTTTTAAAGAGCCACTCGAGTGGGTTGCAAAACCCGTGTTTTCTGAGCTGCTTGGATGGGGTTCATGCCATCTTTCCTCCAAGCTGCAGCCAGGCTCTGGAGCTGGCCTCATCTCGATCCCCGTGCTGCAGCGGGGCTGCATCCTCCACCCCCAGAAAACATCCCTCCAGCCATGTCCCTTCTTCTCTTGGTGTCCACAGCTCACACCCCCGACAACTCCTTCATGGGCTTCGTGTCGGAGGAGCTCAACAAGACGGAGAGGCAATTCATCAAGTCCAACAAAGTGAGCAGCATGGCGGTGGTGTACGGGAAGGAGGCCAGCATCTGGAAGGTGGGTGTCCTCGCGCCGCGGGCAGCGTCCAGGTGGGCAGGGCGGTTGTAGGCAGAGCTGTGGGGTAGCAGCAGTGCCTGGCTCTTGCCCCGAGCTTTTGAGGCACAGATCTTGGTGTGTTTGTAGAGAAACATCCTTGTCCCTTTCCTAGAGGGGAAGCTGGGGCTGCTGCAGTGATGGGACATGCCCAGTGCCTCCCAGCAAAGGGGGCAGAGGCTGGTGAAACCCGTCCCCTGCCCATTGCTCCAGGCGGTGCTTCCTCCCAACAGGCTGCTTAGACTGAGGATTTCCCATCAATGATGTTATGTCATTAATCACCACAATTGCCATTAGGCGATTGCCTGTGTTATGACGGGGATGGTTTCTCTCTGCTTTCCAGTTCCCTGGGGAAGGGGGCTGCGCTGCTCACCTGCCCGCCCGTAACGCCTGGGGCAGAGGGGTGGGAAGCTGCCCGGGGGCAATACTCCCACCCCCTCCGAAACATCCCCCCTTCGCCTCCTATAGCAGCCAGGGGACGTGTGTACTGTCTTACCCACAGCGGGCCACCTGCTTTTCCTTCCAGGGCTTAAAAAAAGGAGCTAATTCTCACTGTCTCTTGATTTATTTCTATTTTTTTTCCCTTTTTGTGCTGCCTGGTGCTGTTCCAGTTGCAGGTACTGTACCCACCAGCTGCTGCTGGGCTTTACCTCTGCACAACTTCTTGTAAGAGAAAAGGTTTGGCCGGAGTCGACTTTGCCTCTTCGTGGGCTCTGTCCTCCCGGGCTGCCAGGATGGATGTGGGGTTCATGCAGGTGGTGGCTGTATCCCCTCCCTGTCCCCACCTTTCCTGAATTAGTGGCTCTGCCCTCGCAGGGATGCTTACGGTGGGTCAGGATCCGGCCACACCATCTCCTGTTCATGGGTGTTTGTGGCTGTTCCATCACTCCCCCATCTGAGAGCAAACTCCGCTGCATAGCTTGGGGGCTCCCCAAAACCCCGCTGACACCCACTAGATTTTATTTTAGAGGAGCTGTAACATTCCGTTGGCTTTTTCTACCATTTCATCGCCCTTTCTTATGCAGAAGTTTAATGTGAGCTTAGGCTAATTTGGGAAGGCACTAAAGAGAGTTAAAAGCTCAGAAGGGACATTTTCCTCCACCCTTTGTGCTGTGAACATTTGCTCCTTTTAACCAGAATTCACAAACAACATCCATTTCCCCAAAACGGCCTCTTTGGGGTGATTTGTTACTGGGTGAAGGGGCTGGGGCTGGTTCTTGCTGGTGGCTGTTCCTCAAGGCCAGGCTGCCTGGGCATTGCTCCACACCCTGTGCCACCCCATGTAATAAAATGAGGAGGAAGAGAAGCTTTTCCTTATTTTGAGTGATTTTGAGGAAAAGAGCACCAGGTGCTTATTTACAAGCCTTGGGCTAAGCACCGTTTCCAGAGCAGGATCTTTTTGACATTTAGAAACATTTCATTAAACCTCCCTTCCCATTATTTCTCATTTCCTCCACCTCTGAAATTCTCGCCTCCGGCTCGCACCAGGAGCCCAAGTGTGAATAACCTGGGAAAGGCCATTCCCGTCGGGCTGCTGCCCAGCTTCCAGGGGTCAGCGCAGCTCGGGGGGCTCGGATGGAGCAGTGGAGGGGTTCTCCCTACCTGGGCGGCTTTTGGGCTTGTTCCCACCCCAGTGATGCTCGGTGATGCCTGGCAATACCCAGGGTCAGTAAGCTGTGTTTCTCTTCCATCTCCCCAAGCCTTTTGCATTAGGGAATCGCTACCAAAACCCCGTGGATTTGGGTGTTGGCAGGTCTGCAGCCAGGATTTTACCCTGCAGCCTCATCCCACCAAAAAAACCTGCTTGGCCTCTTTTCTCTGTGTGCAATACTTGTTTTCAGCCTTAGAGAATTCCAGAGATACGTGGCTGAGGGCAGAAATACAGTGTTCAGGGAGGCTTTAAGGATACATACAGAGTTTTCTCAAATTCCCCGTTTATACCTCCTTATTCCTTCCCGATCTCCACTCTTTCGGGGATTATTGCAGCACTGGAACAAGCTGAAAATGCAGCATCCAAAGGATGGTCCCTGTGTGGTTTTTCCAAGCAAAAAGATTCTGCAACAGAGCAATAGTTAAAACAGAAGGCTGCTTTGGAGAGCAAGAGGAGGAAAGCCTCCAAAAGAAAAAAAACTGATGACCCCCTTGATTTTCCAGGGAGTAAAATAGGATTAAACCTGAGTCAGAAAATCCTGGGGACTTGTCACTTGGAAGAAGAGGCCATTAGCAAGCTCTGCTCTTTGCAAACTTCCCTCTGAATCCCCTTTAATTCAGCAGCTCTGGAGTGGAAGTTGCCTGCGGCGGTGGCAGGGGCTGGAGGTGCCGATGTTCAGGGTACCAGATCCTGCAGCCATCCGGGCTCACTGGGAGCCTGGGGTGGTCCAGGACGTGTGTCCAAGGGATGCCTGCGGGAAGCTCTGGGCTTCACACTGCTGTGGGTCTGCCCGAAGCATTGCGGGTGCTCCGGGACAGTGGTGTGAGCATTCAGTCTCCCCCATAACCATGGGGCAGGGAGGTCAGCCCCGGCTTCTGGTGCAGTTCATGCCTCTGCCTTCCTCCCCAGGGCAAGGAGAAGTTCCTGGCCATCCTCAACAAGTACATGGAGATCCACGGCACGGTTTATTATGAGACGCAACGGCCGCCCGAGGTCCCGGCGTTCGTGAAGAACCACGGGCTGCTGACGCAGCACGAGTTCCAGCAGCTGCTGCGCAAGGCGAAGGTGGGCAGGAGCTGGCCGGCACGTCCGCGGGACCCCGTCCCCGTCAACCAGCCAGCACTGAGGACTCATTGCCTTCAGAAATAAAACCTAATTAAAGGAGGAGATGGGGGAAGCAGGGGGAGGCCATTATCCGCGCTCCTCCCAGGCTTGCAGGCGCTATCAGCAGGGCTAATTAGCCCGGGAGCCGAGCAGAGCACATCGTTACAAATCAAGATGTGTCTGATGAGTTTCCCCTTGCAGGCTGTCCACAGACGGAGCACAAAGTTTCTTGATTAATTCATTTATTGCTAAGTGGGGCGGGGTTTTTTTTTTTTTTTTCCTCGTGGGGGGGTTTTTTTTTTTTTTTTTCCCATGGCTGTGATAAAAATAAGCAGGATTCTCGGAGCAAGTGTGAGGGGTGCGGGCGCATCCCGGTCGCCTTCAGCTGGTGTTTGGGGGAAATGCTGTTGGATCTCCAGCCCGAATGGCTTTAGAAAACCAGTATTCTCCATACAGGGCTGGTATGATGGTCCATGAGGGGACTTGCAGCTCCTGAACACCCCATTGCTTTGCACAAGTGGGCTGTGAGCCATGGAGCCGGGGTTTTAGCACATTTAAACTGGGGTGTTGAACCGCATGGAGCTGCCTTAGAGGCTTGGGAGCAGGATGGGAGCAGCAGAGAGGGATGCTGGCGGGTTTTTTGGGAGCTTTTCCTATGGGGTTGGCTGTGTTTGCTCACCAGCACGTGGCTTTCTCCCTTGCAGCTCTTCATCGGCTTTGGGTTCCCCTACGAGGGTCCTGCCCCGCTGGAGGCGATCGCCAACGGCTGCGTTTTCCTGCAGGCGCGCTTCAACCCCCCGCACAGCTCCCTCAACCACGAGTTCTTCCGCGGGAAGCCGACGTCGAGAGAGGTGAGTCTGGCAGGAGGCGAGTGGGTGGTCTGGATGGAGCCCCCCCCTTTACACCGAGGTTCAGGCCAGCCCGGGGAGGAGCAGTTGCTAAACAGATTATTTTTTTGTTAATGAGATTTCCTCAAAATGCAGAAGTGAGGATCCCTGCAGGCGGGGTCCCCTCTCCCATCCTCTCCATCTGGAAATGTGCAAGGGGCCCTGCCCTGGGTTTGGGGTTGCAAAGGAGAAGGTGATGCAGGAGACTTCTATAGCCCACAAAGCCCAGCTCCTTCCCCATCAGCCCAGACCCACGCACAGCCCCGTACCCTGCTCCCAAACCGGGGTGCTGCTCCCCCCCTTCATCCTTCCGTACACCCAGAGGGACGCTGGGACCTTCGCGGTGTTGCAGGGGTACAGAATCCCTCCCAGGCTCGCCTGCCGCTTGGAATTCAATCTAAGTGAAGCCGGAACTCTTTAAAAGTTAAAGGGTTGAGAAAATTGCCTCTTTCATTATTAATAAAGTGGATAATGCAGTGCAATGCTCGCTCTAGCTGAGAAGGGCATTGCTGGGGCGCGGTGTTGGCTCAGCCGTACCCATCATGGGTTTGGGGGGTAGGGCTGTCCTGCACCCCCCTGTCTGCCCCATGCACCCCACTAATTAGCTGCCGGTGTTAGCACCCATCTCGGGTGGGTGCTGCGGTTGTGCTCGGGTTGGGCAGCTGGGGAGAGGGCTGTGAAATGCCCCAGGGTGTTTATACACCGGAGGGGATGGAGGTGATCAATCTGTTGGCATAAAATGGGAAAGGACAGCAAGCTGGGGAATAAAAGAGAGAGCATACACTGCTCTCCTTCTCCAGCTGGCAAGTTTTCAGGCCCCTCTGCGACACTTTGCAGTGCCCCTGAAACACCTCCTCTGCTCAGCATCCTTCCCCTTCCCCTTCCCCT